AGTTCCTTTCCACAAAGTTCCTTTGGTATCTATGTTGTATATTTCCTGTTTCTATGAGGGAAATGAGGACTTGAAGCTTTCTTGTCTACCACCTTGCTGATGATGTCACTCCTGCGTTCTGAGTCACATAGACCAGAACTATAACTATAGTTCTCTCCCTTACCAAACTGGGGGCCTCAGCAGAAACATCACATCTCTTTGTGCTATACTTTTCTTGTGTTGACAAATGGATACGATGATAGTTTTCATTGAAGCAACATGCAAAATTTCTTGACACAAGTGGTGTTAAATGTTTGCTAGTAGTTCTTATTTTCTTTCCAAAGGCCCTATTTTTTCAAAAACCCAACTATTACTCCTGATTAATGCTGATAGAATGCTAGCTATATATGCCAGGAATTGTATGACTAAAGTATTTTCAGGCAAAGGATATATGTGTTTGCCAAACTATATATATATATATATAGTTTGCTTGTCTGTATATGGTTGTGAACACACACCTATACACCTGTGGGTATTTATTGCAAACACATATGTCCATGTTCAGTTTGTGTATGATTGTGGATCTGTGAATAAATTGAAATGACCACATGTATCCATGCTATTGTGCCCATTGTTTATTATTTCAAAACATAGAGGCACTGGTAAATATGTGTATGCCCTAACTTGGAGTAGACCCTGGCTATCTCAAAAAACATTGAGCATTAAGAACACAAGTTCAGGGGGTTGGGGGACAGGAAAAAAAAAAGAACACAAGTTCAGGCCAACTGGAACTTGCCCAATTTTATAGTCTTAAACTCTCAGAAAAATACCTTTATCTGATAATAATAACAATAGAAACAACAACAATAATAACAAGAAGGACTAAGGTTTAGTTATCTCTTAGTAAGCTTCTTATTCTAAGAACTCACATATATAAACTCATTTAATAACCACAAGAACCGAAGGAAGTAGTCTCTTTTATTATTACTGCTATTGTACAGATGAGAGCAGTGAAGGGACAGAGAGCTGATGTTCCTTGTCCAAAGACCAAGATCCGGTAAATAACAGAATGCAGGTTTGAGTCTAGATGATTTTGATTCCAGTCCTGTGTGCTTAACATTCCATGTCTTCTGTTATCATGGCTGTGTAGAGTCTAACCAGGGCCATATTTTTTCCAGGAGGCATGAAAAAATTAATCCCCAAAATTAAGACACAGAAATTTGCAAACACATGTGAGGGAGATGAAGGAGTATGCAGAAAGAAATGCAAAGAATCTGAAACTGCATTGCACTACTGTTTAAACAACAAAATATGCTGTGTGAAATCAACTTCAACCATTCCTACCAACGTTGTTGTGGAGGACACTGAGTGGAGGAGATTTGTCACCACCACAAGTCATCCTTTTTACTGAAGAGCCTCAACCTTTTCTCCTTCTTGAAATCTTCCTGTCAAATATCCCCACTATAAAATTGCATTCCAGCCTCTTGTGTCTGTCTTTTATTCTATGAAGATTCATGATTGGAGGAGGAAAGCTGGGTGGGAGCTGTAGAATTTGGTAAGAAGCTCCAGTCAAGGAAACAAAATGCTGAGACAGTGCAGAGAAAGGGAGATTATATTTTGCCTTGCTCACTACAGACCATGAAAAAGACATAGACAGGTACTTCCCAAAACTGGATACTTAAATGGTCACTCTACATGTGACTGGGTGTCAGTACTCATTACTTATCAAGGAAAAGCCTACTACAACGTCAATGAGCTCTTATTCAGCATATGCCAACGTGGCTGAGCACATGACAATGCCACACGCTGTAGGGGATGGAGAGGAACTGGCGCCCTCAACTTCTGCTGGTAGGTATATAAATGAAACATCGAACATCTGCTTAATGCCCACTTACTTTAAGCATATACATGCAGAAATGTATACATATATGCCATATCATCACATTGTATATCAAATCATCATGCCTTAAATGATACAATTTTTATTTGTAAAACAAAATCAAGTAAACAAAGAGATGTCTCTGGGAGGACAAGGAATGCATATACAAGGCTTAGAGCAGGTAGAAGTACTGTTCAGGTGTTGGTTACAGAGAACATAAGTCTGGTTTGCAAGAAGACTCTTCCCTGCAAAGGGGGAAGCCTATGAAAAAGGGGGAAAGAAACATGAATTCTTAAGAGCACAGGTTGGTTGTGAGGCCCATGGTGGGAACTGAAAGGGAGATTCCCAAGGTGGGCAGGAAGTTATCATAGAGTATAGAGCTGATTTCTTTAACCACTGTGCAGCTGAAGGGTTTAAAAGGAAAAATTGAAAATGGGTTTTAGATATAATGCCCTGGCAAGTGAATAGAAAGAATAAAGCGAGTCAGAGTCATAATGGAAAACAGAGAGAGCACAGGATGCGAACGTTAAGTGCATGCACTAATTCGGTAGGGCTGCCATGAGAAAGTACAACACAAGGCAGCTTACACAACAGACATTTGTTTTCCCACAATTCTATAGGCTACAAGTGCAAGGTCAAGGTACTGGCAGAGCTGGTTTCTTTGGAGGCCTCTCTCTTTGATGTGTAGATGACCGTCTTCTCTCTGTGAAGACGTGGCTCCCTTCCATGTGGCTTTGCGTCTTCTTCTACTAGGGATGCAAGTCCCGTTGGGTTAGGGCCTGCCCTGATGATGTAGGCCCGCCCATCTGGCTTCGATTCCAGTCCTGTGCACTTAACATTCCCTGTCTTCTGTCCTGGTGGCTGCACAGAGTCTAACCATATGGTTAGACTAAAGGATTTAACATAATTACCTCGTTAAATTCGGACCCTATCTCCAAATGCAGTCTCATTCTTAGGTCCTGGTGATTAGAGCTTCAACAAATGGATTTTGACATTTTGAGGGGATTCATTTTAGCCAGTAATAGTGAGCAAGGAGAGGTGATGGTGGATTTAGAACAGCAGAGGCCAAGATGGAGAGCAGGGGCTATGGAGGCAGACCTGGGAAGCCTTTGCGGCCGAAATGATAGGGGGGCAGGGAGGAGCAAGGAAGTGTGTAAGATGTATTTTAGGGTCATGGTTTGAATACTCGGGTTGGGGCCACGTTCCTGTTTCTCAGTCTCTCTTCATCTTCCGTATCTTTGCCTTCTAAGGTGACATCTTCTAAAGTCACAGGTAGAAAGTGGATTTTCACCATTATTTCAAGAATACAAAAGGCTTTAAGGCTTGAAAGGCATATGGAACTTATAACCTAGTCCAACACTTCCATTTTGGGGATGGGCAAACTAGTAAGGTGACTCAGCAACATCCTATTAGTGCATCTGGATTTTCCCGGCATCCTTTTCACTTCTGTAGGACTAAGGGCCTGGAGTCATGTTTACTCAGCTCTCTAAGACCCCTGGGCCCATTTGCGGGCGTAATTTCTCTAACCAAAAATATATAAACACTCTTGGTACAAGAACAGGAAGCTGCTAAGGACTTTCTGCAGCCACTGGTGTGGTCTGGGTTGAAGCTGCAGTATTAACTGGAATCCCAGGGTTTGGGTAATCTGAGATCCTGATTGATCCACTCTCTAGGTACCCCAAACACATCCTTTTAGGTTTGGGACAGAAATGTTACTTTGTAGTATTACAGTGGGGAAAAATGAGAGAATTGATGTGAAAGTATTTTGAGAAATGGGTTAAAGGGTAAGGTGCCGCCATTATTGTGATGACCGTACCTTGTCTTTCAACCGTGTTGTCTAGACAATGATGTCAATAGTGGCTAGAGGTAATTTTCAACTTCAGACATGAGCGGCCTTGGCCTCTGAACTAAGACCATCTGCTGAGTGGAAACAATTTCCTCCTTAACTGCAACTCAGAATAATTTGTATTTGTGCCTGGACATACCAATCGGCTCTGGGCCTGCTACATATTTTAACCACAAGGGGGCTCACCGAGCTTTCCCGTTCAGCACACCTTCCACGTTCAGGAAGTGCGTTCTGGGGAGGAAGAGCACAGGAAAGCTTTTCTTACCGCAGTGATCTTTTCCACGTGGAGGAAGCACCATGCCTGAACTCGGGCACCGTGGGCTCAAAGTGCTGCCACTGAGCCAGCCATCTGCGCCTTCGGGGCGAGTCATTTAAACGCTATGAAGTTGAGTTTCCTCTTCTGGAAAAGGAACATACCTTTTTTTACTGTGCTTCGCTTTCTCGTGTGTCCCTCCCAGATATTGTTTATTTTATGTTTTCTTGTGACTGGAGGCTCCGTAGCAACCCCCAGCAAAACAGTTATGACTTCCTGAAGGTTCAGATAATGGTTAGCATTTTTTTTTAGTAGTAAAGTGTTTTTTAATTAAGGTTTTTTAGACATAATATTATTGCACAATCAATAGCCTACAGTATAGTGTCAATAGAACTTTTACATGCACTGGGAAACCAAAAACTCTGTTTCCCTTTTTGCAGGACTCACCGTGTTTAGGTGATCTGGAACGGAACCTGCAGCATCTCTGAGGTGTGCTGTAGTTTCGCCTCGTGAAGCAATTGTTAGGACAAAATGAGGTTGTATATGTTAAGGGCTTAGAACAAGGCCTCACACACAGAAAGTTCTCAGTAAATGTTGAAGGTTTTTGTTTGTTTTTTACTACGTTCCCCTTCCATTTGGTTGGGGTGGACATGGTTGCCCCCTGGTCAGAAGGCATGCCAATCTTTGGACAGCCAAGTATGACTAGGAGATTAGGTGAGGGATAAATTCTAATACTGAGACCATGAGACAGAGTCTTGGGGTAACCCTTGAGCTAAATAGGCAAAGACGACCTCTGGATCACACGAGCCTATTTCAACAACCCAGGGTGAGGCATTTGATTCAAACGAGGGGCCAAGGTGGGATTCGCATTAGTGTGGAAAACTTCCCCAGCCTGAGACCTAGTAGCACATAGAGGCTTAGGAATACAGGATCCAGACCCTATAAAACTGTCTTACCGTGAGAACCAATATTATCAAACACATCCTGGGACAATCCAGAGATATTAAGCTACCCAGGACTAGAGAGACGACATAGAGTGATAGTTAGAATGAGCATATTTTTCTTTAATGAACTAGGGGAATACTCAGCAGGTATCTAAAATCTAAGGAGCATGCAGGTGCCCTAGACAGTCATTTCACTTGCTCATTATAAAGTCTGTTGACATTCTTTTCTCACGCGTCTTAAAGAGATAGTTGTACTTGCCACAGTCTTACGTGTCAACTCTTGTGTCTTGAGAACGCTTGAGATTTCGGCTTTATTAGAGGGATGCAGCAAATTTTTTTTCCTGTACATTTTTCTTTCTCCTTCTCATTTTCTTTGCAAGCTGTTCTGCATTGGCCAGTATTGTAATTGCACATGTGGATCCATCCATCTATCAAAATAAACAGAGATGAATAAACAAATACACAAAACAGAGTTAAGACTATTATCCTAAGGGTGTTGGTCATTGTAGTGATAATGGTGCCTGTAGAACGCCAACTGCTGGTCTCCGTGTGTACTAGAGCTGAGTGGTTATCTCTCTTCCTCCAACTGGACTTGATGTCTATGCTTATGATGTTCCCACTTCCACAATTTTTCACAGGCTCATCAACAATGGTTTCTCCTTGTCCCCAAATCCAGGTGCTTGCCAGGGAGTGGACCTACACCTTCAGTTCCCCATCCCCCTCTTCATTATTCACTCATCAGTGATTCGTTGGGCACTTGCCATGTGCCGGGCACCAGGTGACGCCTAGAGCAGGACTTGGAACACTGAATGATCAATTTACATTGCTGACCTGGAGGCTAATGTTCTGGGTGGTGTAACAGTGCCCTTATGTGATTTATCATTTCTGACTTAGCCTTACCTGGGTCAACAAAATACAGAGCGCAGACCCCGCTTCCCCAGCACATTGGGTTCAGTTGAGAGATCATAGTATCTTGGTTTAAATTACACATTCCCTCTACTTGTTTTTCCCCCAGACTCCCCTCCTGGTAGGGAGTTTCTAATTCTTTCTCACCAGGATGTTCAGACCAGAAAAATCAAAGTCAAGATGACTCTGATTCTATCAGTCAATGTGCAGATTCATTCTCCAAAGTGTCTTTTGCATCTGCAACTCCCTCCTCTCTTTGACTTGCCCTCGCCAGAGTTTAAGGCAGGCCGAGATCAACCCAGGGTTAGTCCAGCATTACCTTCTTTTGCTTCTAGAACAACTGAGTGATAGGCAAAGACTTTCAGTTCAAAAATCTGATCCAAGAGAAGAGGCAACTTCCAACAGCAGTGACCGAAAGGAAAACCACAGAACTAAACATCATAAACTATAGAAGCACCAGGAAGCCTAAGTGGAAACATTTCCATTAGAATGTTGTTCACCACTTGGCCATGAAGCCTGTTGTATGGTTAGAGAGCTCTGGCCATGTTTGGTTTGGTATCCAGAATCTTCTGCCCTCACTCCAGCACCACCTGGGAACCATAGATATCCAACATCAACCTACATATTTTTCACTGTATACTCAAAGACAAGAGCAAGATCGCACCTCTGATTGCTCTAAAGGAGCATTCAAAGCCAAACAAGAATGGAGAGGTGAAATAATGGGACTGGTTCCTGCAAGAGGTGCTGTCAACAGGAAGTGAAACTGAGGTGGAAGGTGCCTGGGATGAGATTCTGTTGACATCTGGGCCAAGGATATTAAGAACACTTAGAGATGTTGGGGTCGCTTCTGCAGATAGAAGGGACTTCATACAAGACACCCTGGTTTCTGCTGATATTCACCAGGTTCCCTGATGAGAAGCACCATCAGGGTGGAGGGCGACAGACTGCCCTTATTAGTGGAGCATATTATAAGGCTTCTTACCGAATCTCAGCCATCCCTGTGAGCTGTCCTCACTCCCACACGTTTTCAGTTTTCCGGGGATTCTATGAGTAAGACCCCATTCTTACTCCCTTTTCCCTCCTCTCCGCAGTCTGGTTACCTGGGGAAGCCTGAGGCAGGACCACAAGGATGGCTAAGGCCAGGAGCAAGAGTTTAATGTATCTTGAGGGGGGCGAGGAAAGGTCCGGCAGCATACTGAACATGCTAGGGAAGGCAGGTCTTCCCTCCGCATTTTATTGCCTTGGGTAGTGCTGAGTCACGGGCAATAAATCAGAGAAGAGCAGAGTGTTCCACCACGCAGAACATCAACCTGCTGGTCAGCTATGTAAATCAATCATCTAACACTTAGAGTCCTTCTCTAGACGGCAGCCGGGAGGGTGGACGGCATCCGCAGAGGGTGCACAAGGCCTGCACAAGTTGTGGCACTGTGAAGAGAACGGGTCCACTTTCTTTTTTGTTCCTTTATTTTTACTGTTGACACTAATACAGATGTCCCCATTTGCTCCCACTTTAACCTCCTCCACCTACTCCCTCCCCCTTGCCCTCTGGCTGTCTCCACACTGTGGTCTGTATCTATGAGTTATGTACCTGTGTCCTTTGGCGAATACCTTCACCTTCTTTCATCTGTTCCCCCCTTGTCCTCCCAGAGCTGTCTGTCTGTTCCATGCGTCCATGCCTCTGTTTCTCTTTTGTTTGTCAGTTCATTTTGTTCACTAGTGAACAAATGGGTGAGATTCCACCTATGAGTGAGATCTTATGATACTGTCTTTCTCTGACTGGCTTCTTTCACTCAGCATAATAATCTCCAAGAGAATGGACCACTTTCCAAGGAGACTTCTTGCTCCTCTTCTTGGGTATTTAACTCCCTCCCTTATGTTCTCACACCCTCTCTCCATCCTTCTTTCTGGCATAATATTTATCATGATGAGCTGGAATGAAGCATTTTCCTAGTTCATCTCCCCTATAGGGCTAACACCATTGAGGGCAACTTTTAATAGACAGGGAGCCTCCTGATGGTGGAAACCCCTGGAGGCTGGGATTTCTGTCCTCCAGGGCGTGCAGAGAATCTGTGTTGAAAACAGAGACTGGATGAACGCATGTTGAGTAGTCCCTCGTATCCTGATGGATCTGAGAATTGGCATTTCTCAGTTGACAAAATGCAGGCCCAGAGAGTGACAAAGCGTTGTCCAGGGTCACACTGTTGGCAAGAAAAAAACAGGCGGAGAGCCCGCAGAACCCGAGTCCTAGCCCAGCTCTTCCTAACTCTGCATTGTCCTCCTTTCCTCCTGCTCCAGCTCTTCAATGTTAGCTGCTTCTGGGTCTTTCTTGGACTCCAGCCTCAAAGGATAGAGAAGAAACATGTCGGGCGGGTTCCCTAACAAAGAGGGCATGGAAGGGGGCACTGATGGGGCTCCAATGGGAGGTTGGAGTCCTCTGGGCTTTCTGTTCTGGTCCTTGGTCTGTGTTATAGTTACTTTACACCTTTCGGTGGGTCCAGCGCTCTTCTTTTCTACCCTCTTCTCCCTACATTCAGCAGGTATTAGGGACAGCCGGATGTGGGATTGAGAAAACCTTTTTCACTTTTGATATCCAGGTAGTACCTTCTCCAGAACAGCAGTGAGCACGTGGCCAGGCACTGAACGCTCACATGCGTGACCCTCAGAATCCTCACAGGGTCTCTGATAGGCAGATGTGATTTGCTCAGGGTGACGCCATGCTTCGGAATGATCTCCGGATTCAGATCTGGTTTACCTGTCCTCAGAGGTCTATGCCTGAGTAATGTCGGAAAGGAAGACCTGTTCAACCTGAAAAGCAGGACTGGGCTGTAGACAGTTGTAGTCCCTGGCTTCGGAAAGGCGCGTTCCGTGCACGCCTAGAGGGCAGAACGAAAAGTCTGGGGTGGACATTGCGGCAGGGCAGGTTCACACTAATTGGAAAGAACTCGGAAAATCAGAACCATCTGGGAATGGCTGGCCTGTCTGAGAGAAGCGGTGGCCCCCTGTGCCCCAGTGCTCCGGACTGAGCCCGCACGACCACTCCTCTCGGATTCTCCAGGGAGGACTGCTGAGTTGGCTGAATAGGGGTCTGTGCCCCAAGGCACAGTGCTGGGCACTGGGTCTAAGAGGAGGAGAAAGAAAGTCCTGCCATTCTGGTTAGGGAGAAAGACAACAAACCTAAAAGGCCAGGTGGTAGCAGTGCTGTAAACAAACACAAGCCCTGTCTGGTGTGGCTCAGTGGATGGAGCACCTGCCTGTGAACCAGAAGGTCACAGGTTCGATTCCTGCTTAGGGCACATGCCTGAGTTGTGGGCCAGGTTCTCAATTGGGAGTGTGCTAGAGGCAACCACACATTGATGTTTCTCTCCCTCTCTTTTTTTTCCCCTCTAAAAATACATAAATAAAATCTTTTTTTAAAAAAGGTAAGGGACAGAGAATAATATGATGTGTGTCAGTGTCTATTTTGAACAGATTACTCAAAACAGACTCTCTGAGGGAGTGGCATTGAGCAGAAACTTGAATGTGCTGAGGAAGTTAGCCAGCCACATGGGTATCTAGACTCTTTCAGGCAGTGAGAGCAGCGAGAGCAAAGGCTCTGAGGAAGGAAAGTTCTAGGTATCCTAGGAAGAGCAGGAAGTCAAGTGTGTCTGGAAGAGAGTGAGGGAATGAATGAAAGGAACTAACATCACAGAGGCAGGCAGAGCCACCTCAAGTCAGACCCGATGGGGTCCTAACAAGGACTTTGAAATTTACTTGCTATGTGATAAGAAACTGTATTCTACACCTTAAGAGACCTTCAAATGTAAGCATTTGTTTTTGTCTTTTTGTCTATAAGACATCACTTTCTTCATCCGTAAGGTAAAGTATCTGGGCTAACGTAGGGTTTCCTGAAACGTGTGACCCTTGTCCCTGGTGGTAGGAGTGACAATTTAGGTGGCAAAATAAGTACATATTTTTAATAATTTTTATCTTAATGCTCATTTGAGAAAAAATATCACTAGCCCTTGTAGTGTTGAATTTATGGATAGCTTCACTTAGGATATGGTCAAATATGGACTTAAGTAAATGGAGTATGTTCTATAAAAATATTAAGCAAATGATACTAGAGCTTATCAATAATCTGGTAAAAAGTTTGCAAGATAATACACAAATGGCTGAATTTTGTGCTAGAAGATTGATAAAGGTCATTCAGTGGAATAGAAAACTGAGGCTCAGAGAGGTCAATTGATTTTCTTAGGGTCACACAACTGGTAAGTCATGGAGTCGGGAGTGGATTTTAGTCCATCTGACTCCAAAGCTGCCACTCCTGGCGCCAGGGAATGTGCTGTCTCACCAAACACATAAATCTTTTGCCAGTAACTGTGTCTTCATTTGTTTATTTTGTTAACTTTCTATTTTGAAATTACTATAGACTAACAGGAAGTTGCAAAGAGAGTAAAGAAATCCTGTGTACGCTTTCTCCAAGTGTTCCACTTTGAACAGCTGTAGCACAGTGTCAGAACAAGAAAAGTGAGCTCGGTACAACGCTGATGTGTCCTTCTGTGTCATTTCAGCACAGGTGTGGATAGAATGTAAGCACTCAACACACAGAACTCTTCAACCACCACAGAGATTTTCCCTGTGCTAACCCTTTGCAGTCATACTAGCCCCTACTTCCCAGCATCCCTACCCCCCGGCAACTAACAATTTGCTCTCTATCACTCTAATTTTGTCGTTTTGAGAATGTTCTCTAAATTTACCCACACAGCGTATGACCTTTTGAGATCACCACATCCATCAGCAGTGTGTTCCTTTCACTGCCGCATAGCCTCCCATGCTGTGGGTGTACCGAAGTTTGTCTAACCATTAACACATCAGAGAACCTTTTGGTTGTTTTCAGATGTGGGTTATTACAAATACACCTGCTATGAACGCTTATGTGCAGGTTTTTCTGTGATCGTAAGTTTTCATTTCTCTGGATAAATGCCTAGGGGTGTTATTGCTAGATGGTAAGATGTTTGTAAGTTTTTTTTTAATTGTCAAACTATTTTTCAGAGTACCCATACCCTTTAACATTCTTGCCAGGAATGTGTGAGACATTCTCATCAGCATTTGGTATTGTTATGGCTTTTAATTCTAGCTGTCCTAAGAGTTTTGTGGTTGTATCTCACCCTGGTCTTCGTTTACATTTCCCTTATTGCTAGGGATGTCGAACATCTTTGCAGGTACGTATTTGCCTCATGTGTCCTCTTTGGTGAAATGTCTGTTCATTTGCCCATTTTCTTTTTTTAAAAGATTTTATTTATTTATTTATTTATTTATTTATTTATGTATTTATTTATTGTTAGGGAGAGAGGAAGGGAGGGAGAAAGAAAGGGAGAGAAACATCTATGTGCAAGAGAAACATCAATTGGTTGCCTCTCCCACGTCCTCAACTGGGGACCTGGACCGCAACCCAGGCATGTACCCCTGACTGGGAATCAAACCAGCGACCTTTCGGTTCACAGTCTGGCACTCAGTCCACTGAGCCATATCATCCAGGACTTGCCTGTTTTCTAAGTGAATTATTTGGTTTTAGCTTTTGAATTTTGAGAGCTCTTTATATTTCAGTTCTTTGTTGGATATGTAGTTTACAAATAATATCTCTGCCTATATTTGTTCTTTGAATCCTTTTCTTTTTTATTTATTACCTGTTTTTGGTTCTTTTTTGTGGTGAAAGTACTTAATATAATTAAGTACAATAATAGTCACGTTGTGCAATAGACCTTCAGAACCTTTTCATCTTGCATAACTGAAACTTAATACCCCCTGACCGACACCGGCCCATTTCCCCCTGCGCGCAGCCCCTGGTGACCACGGTGTACTCTCCGCTTCTCTGAGTTCGATCACTGAGATTCCGCATGTAAATGAGATCATGCGGTATTTTTCTTTCTTTCTCCAGCATTTCCCTCGGCATCATGTCTCACAGATTCAGACATGTTGTCATGAATGACAGGATTTTTCTTTTTAAAATGCAGATTAATATTCTCCTGCGTGTATATACCACATTTTCTTTACCCATTCATCTGTCGACAGACATCGGGGTGGTTTGCAGACCTTGGCTGTTGTTATAAATGCTGCAATGAACACGGGAGTGCAAATATCTCTTGAAGATAGTGATTTCATTCATGTAGACATTCACCCAGAGGTGGAACTGCTGGATCATATGTGGTAGTTCT